TGTCCAAACCATATGTGAACTATGTAGGATCCAAAGCTGAATACAGTACCAGACATTTTGCTGCAAAGAAGTAGTGTTCAAGAATCTAGAACCTTAATCTTTGCCTTCTATTGTTATGATTTTGAGTATGAGTGTGTGTTTGTATGTGAATGTTTGATTTCAGAGATTGTATTGAATTCATCTTTGTATCTTAAATACCTAACAGCTGTGATGGATATGACATAGTACTTAGTAAATCCGTGTGGAATGGATGAAAGGGTACCAGGAATGCAACCTTGTCTGGCAGAAGATAGTGGCATTTCTATTTTTAACCACTGTGGTATCAATTATTCTCAGTTCCCTATTCTGCCACCCATCTCCCCCACCAAAGCCTGATCCCCCATTACCGAGAAATACAGTTATACCAAGTAATAATCTTTACCTAAAACTACATAGTGGGAAGAGCAACAAATTTGCAAACAGAGCTGAACTTCGGTCTTTGGTAACTTCTTTATGCCTCAACTTGGGCCAAACAACAACAAATATGGCTGCTTCTACCTCTTTAATGGATACTACGGACATTCATTGAGCACTCGCCTGAGCTGGGGAATGTGCTAGGGGTCCACCATGCAGATCACCGTATTTTATCTGCACAGCACACCTGAGAGGCAGTCTTCTTATTATCTCCATTTTACCCTGGCTCAGAGACATTCAGTCTTCTGTCCGATGTTATACCACCAGTCGGGGAGAGCTGAGAGAGAGGAAATGGCTCTGACAGGCCCTCCATCAACAGTAGCTATTAAGCCGATGCTGATAATTCAGGAGTCCTTGGGGCATGTAACACAATGAATGCACAGCATCTTAGCATGAGTAAGTTGATGAGATCAACTCCCTCCCTGATAACACAGACAGTCAGCATAAAAGCTATCTCCCTTTAAGGGAGAGGAAACTTAAGGATGTGTTAGGGGGTGAGGGTGTGGGAGGTGATCACATTATTCCAAAATTAAAATTGTCCTTTTGAGAACACACTCTTCAACATTCAGCTCTGGGGGTGTGTGAAAGTGGGGAACAGGAAATAGAAGCTAAGACACGTTCCATCAATTCCACAAGTTACCCGTGGTATGTCTCCATGAGCTGTGGGCCTGAATATTGCAAGGAACGGAATGCAACATTCTTCCTCACTCTTCCCTTAAGAGAAATCCGTTGCTGGATGTTCAGCCTTTGCGCAGAGTGTGGCATCCCAGGGTGCTTCAGTGGAGAGCTGCCAGAAGAGAATAATACTAGCAGTGTCATCTGCCGACACGAAGGACAGGAATACACTTACAGCCTGGACTTGGCTTCTTGCCTCTTGTTCAGGCACCAAACAGCTGGGATTACTGACAACCTCCCTGAGACACCCTGGGACACACTTGCTTACTTTAGCACTATTTAAATCTCTCTAGATAGTGTATTGCTTTGTTTCCTCCAAGCCAATTATGGCTTTAATCTCACTTCTTATCCTTTGCCTCCCTGAGACTAAAGGAACAAGAAAGAGTACAGATCAGAGGCTATTAACCTGGGTTCTACAAACCCCAATGTGAATAGACTTAGGGCCAACCTTGAATCAAAGCCCTGACCTCTCGAAGGGTAAGAGGTCCAGACCCTCTCAATTTCTTGAGGATCCAGGTAGATTAAAAAGCAAATATACCTCAAGAGGGCTGTAAAAACAATTGTTTATTTTTAACTCTTTATTATACTAAATGAATTTTTTTAAGCACAAAACAATATTCAGCAATATATGTATGCAAAGTCTGGGGTACTTAAAAGTGTTTATTAAAAAAATATGAATTCAGAGTGCATTCAGTCAGGTGGTGTGGTCACAAGGTTAAGGTTGTGTGGTGAATGTTTTATGTTTTCTTTTTTTTTCAGTCCTCAGAATGTGTCTCTGTGAGTGTGAGTATAATCTCACTTTACAAAGAAGGCTCAGGGACTTCCCTGGCCACCCAGCGGTTACGACTTGGCCTGGGGGTGCTGGGGTGCAGCTGGGGGTGCTGGGGGTACAGCTGGGGTGCTGGGGTGCAGCTGGGGGTGCTGGGGGTACAGCTGGGGTGCTGGGGTGCAGCTGGGGGTGCTGGGGTGCAGCTGGGGGTGCAGCTGGAGGTGCAGCTTGGATCCCTCATCAGGGAGCTAAGATTTCCCATGCCTCCTGGCCAAAAACCCAAAACATAAGACAGAAACAATATTGCAACAATTTAAGTAAAGACTTTTAAATTGTCCACATTGAAAAAAATAAGAAAAAACTTCAAAGAAAGAAGGTTCATAGTCCAAATGTGAGTATTGCTGGGAATGTGAGTCCCTGGCCACGTGATCTCCCTGGTGCCTCTTTATTCTGCCCTTCCTCAGGGGCTCTGTCCCTGACATTGAATGTGAACTTTTATGTTCATGTATTCATTTCCTAGATTTTCTCCAAGCAGTCCATTCTCCCCCAAATTAAGAACTTCTTGTCTCAGAAATAGCCTAACATATGAAGCCCAGACCAATGAAAAGAGCTTCTCATTTCTGAGATATAGAATACTCTTCTTTTAAATTGTGAAAATATTTTAGCCTTGCAATTTAATTTCATATTAAAAGCTCTTTTACATGACTTGCTGCTTTTTCAAATGTGTAGTAATCTTAAAATTCTTCTTGTTTTATTTGTCACCTCTCCATCCCTATTCCAGAATCCGTAAGGTTAAAACTAGGGTACTGACTGTACTGGATAGGCAGGAGTCTAACCTCACCTTGCTGTGTGACCCTGTGGAAGTGCTTTCCCTCTCGGGTATTCAGTTTCCATGACCTTAAGATGAGATGGTGATTCCATTTCACAAGCTCCTTTTAGTTTTTTTTTTTTATTTTTTATTAGTTGGAGGCTAATTACTTTACAATATTGTAGTGGGTTTTGTCATACATTAACATGAATTAGCCATGGATTTACATGTATTCCCCATCCCGATCCCCCCTCCCACCTCCCTCTCCACCTGATCCCTCTGAGTCTTCCCAGTGCACCAGGCCCGAGCACTTGTCTCATGCACCCAACCTGGGCTGGTGATCTGTTTCACCCTAGATAACATACATGCTTCAATGCTGTTCTCTTGAAACATCCCACCCTCGCCTTCTCCCAGAGTCCACAAGTCTGTTCTATACATCTGAGTCTCTTTTTCTGTTTTGCATATAGGGTTATCGTTACCATCTTTCTAAAGTCCATATATATGTGTTAGTATACTGTAATGGTCTTTATCTTTCTGGCTTACTTCGCTCTGTATAATGG